ACCCGGCCATCTTTGGCCTGGCCTACAAGGCCGTCGATGGCATCATGAGCCTCACAATAGCCGCTCTGTCCTACTGGCCCTGGGAGCTGGTTCGCCATGATAGAGAGAGCGGGACAAAGTTACTTTCGCAGAAGGGAAGGCTGGCAAGGTACTTTTCGCGCAGCCACTCCTGCTGGTCTTTGACTGACTTTAGCAGCCTCCGCATCTCCCTTGTGCTCGCCGCAATTGCAGTGCTGCTGCGGCCAACTAATCTCCTCATCTGGATGGCCATCCTCACAGCGTCCATCTCGCGGGTCCCCCTTAACGGAGCACTGTCCTTGACGGTATCCTCGGTGCTGCGGCTTTGCCGAGAGATTGCTGTGTGCGGAGCTGTGGTGCTGGCTGTCTTCCTGGTGTCGGACCGCCTGTACTTTGGCTTCTGGACCTTCCCGCCATACAAGTGGCTCGACTTCAACCTCAACCAGGACCTTGCCGTTTTCTATGGTCAGATGCCCTGGCACTACTATCTCTCCCAGGGCGTGCCCCTCCTCACAACCACTTTCCTGCCGTTTGCCCTGACCGGCCTCTACAAGGCAATCACATCTACCAAGGGCTTACCGCTTCTGCAATCCAACACCCTCAAAACTCTCGCCTTCGCAACCCTTATCATGCTCACCACCCTCTCCCTCATCTCCCACAAAGAAGTCCGCTTCATCTACCCGCTCCTCCCGCTCCTCCACATCCTCGCCGCCCCCTACCTCACCTCCTTCTTCACCACCCCAACAACCCCTTCCTTCCCCAGAAATCCACCACCAATCCCCTCATCCTCCGCCACAAACTAACCCTCGCCCACGTCCTCTCCCTCAACCTCCTCCTCGCAGGCTACCTCACCCTCTTTCACCAGCCCGCCCCCTTATCGGTTCTCACTTTCCTGCGCTCCGATTTCGAGCGTTTACACCCGGACCTTCTCACCATCTCCCTCCCTTCCACCACTCCCTCCACCAACAACGTCCCCAACAAAACTTCCAAAGAAGAGAATACTGAGGAGGAAGCGGAATTATTTGCCCTCTTCCTAACACCCTGCCACACCACCCCCTGGCGCTCGCACCTCATCTACCCCGCCCTGCGCGCTCGCGCACTGACTTGTGAACCACCTCTCCACACCGCGCCCGACACGCCTGAGCGAGCACTCTACCTCGACGAGGCGGATCGGTTTTACCGAAAGGAAGAGGACGGTGCTATGATAAAGGCAGGGCCGGGGTATGGAGTGCGGTTCTTGGGAGAGGAGATGTGGCCTGTGAGTACCACCAAGGGGGAGGAGGGTCGAGGGGAGAGAGAAGGGGAGATGCCGAGGTATATTGTTGGGTTTGAGGGGATCGAGCCTGTGGTGAGGGCGTTTTTTGAAGGGGAAGAGGGGAAGGGGATGGGGGTGAAGTTGACGAAGGTGTGGGAGGGTGGAATGGGTTTTTTAATGAGGATTGGAGGAGGAGAGGGAGGTTGGTGGTTTGGGATACAGGAGTTTTGAGGGGGGGTTGAATTCAACAGGGGTTGATGGTAGGGGAAGAGAGGTTGAAGAGGAGGGTGAGGGGTGGAAGGAGGAGCTTTGAGGCTTTTTGTCTATGTGTGAAAAGAGACCGGACGGGAAGGTGTACGACATAATACCCAAAAAGGTGGTGCTGGGGGCATGATGGCACTGAAAACATCATATTCACCCACACAAAAAGTTCCGGTCCACTAATCACCCTTTTAACACCCACCGCGCGCCATCTACAGACCGTTGTGTCCCGTTCACACCCTCTCTTCTACATCACAGCACACATCCTCATCATGACATTAAAATGGCTGGGTATTATTTCGGCTGCCTGTCCAGGAAAAAGCCAACGCGGAAACCCAGAAGAGATTTTTCCGAACACCGCAGTAGCTAGGTCGAAGAAGCCCTGAAGTGAAAAAACACCCCCGCCCAATAGTTACCGCCGTCCATTTTGCCTTCATGACACATCATCATCCATCCATCCATCCATCCATCGCCTTCTCGATAGGCACTTCAGTACATCTTGTCCCATCCATTACCATTACACTCTCCCCTCATTCATCTCTCCGCCCTATCCCTCTCTATGAAAGCAAGAGTAGCAGGTTAAGACCTCGCCTCCTCCAACTCCAACTCCAACTGCCGAATCCTCTCACTCTGATCAACACCCCCACCCCCAACGGCAACAACACCGACCCTCTTCTTGAGCGCCTCCAGCTCGCCCGCAAGACGCGTAATAATATGCGTCTGCGCCGAGATCTTGTCGCTCTGCGCATTGATGACCGCCTCCTGCCGCTCCAGCAGCTTGACGATCTGCTCGAGCGAGTGCTCAACGGCCGGGGTGGCCACCGTCGCGCCTTCGGGGACAATATCCGGCACGTGGGGCGGCGGAGTGCGCGAGACGGGGGAGAGCGAGTTGCGCGGGGAGCAGATGGGCGAGGCGGGCTTGACGCGGGCCGGGGGAGGCGGTGCGGATCGGCTGCTGCTGTTGCTGGAGCTGAGGCTTGGCGGGGGAGCGGATCGGGGCAGGGGCGATGATGCTGGTGCGCGCCTGGGGCCGGGTGATCTCCTCGGCTGGAGGCATCGGCGTCGGAGTCGCTGGAGGACTCGTCGTCGTCCTGGAACTTGCTGGCCATGGCCGAGATGGAGCTCTTCTGGTCGGCCATGGTGGCAGGAGCGCGGACGGGAGCCGGGGCGGGGGCGGGGGCGGGGGCGGGGCGGGGCGGGGGCGGAGGCAGGCTCAGGCTCCTTCTTCGCGACCGGAGCAGGGGCCGGGGCGGGAGCTGGGGCGGCAGCGGCCGGCTTGTGGCCGGCGGGGATCTCGACCGGCGCGTTGCCGTCGTAGATGCTCTCCAGGTCAATCTTGGACGGGACGGCGGTCTTGCCGTCGAACCACTCCTTGGAAGACATGGCAGGCTTGATGCCGGTGGCGGGCGGGTAGATGTCGGATTGGAAGGTCTCGGCGCGACGGGGCACGGTGAACGAAATGGGCTCGATGTACGTGTCGTTGACCGTCTTGTAAGCTCTCATCACCTCATTCTCATGGACGTTGATACCGCGACGGGGCACAAAGGCGATGCCGCGCTGGGGATCGGCCGACTTGTATTCGGACAGGAACTCGAACTTGTCGTTTTCGTACTCAAAGTAGCGAATGTTGCCGTCGCTGATAAAGTCAGTAATTGTCGACTACTAAAAATGGAAACTTGACTCACCCCTTGCCGGCAAGATAAAGGCAGTTCGACCCGTCGTCTGCAAAAAGCTTGCGTTAGAAGTTGCGATGGAGTAAACTGTGGCAGTCGACTTACCCCAGAAAGGCATGCAGACACCAGAGATCGAGTCGAGTGAAGTAAAGCCACCAATGGGGTCCTTCCGGCCGGGCTCCCACAGGGCAATCTGACGCTCGCTCATTCTCGAGAAGCCGGAGGTGGCAATGCGGTTGTGCTCGCCCATCCACACGGCGCGGCTGTTTTTGGCGCCCTCATGACCCGCATATTCGTGGACCGGCTTCTCCTGGCGAACATCCCACACCCGCAACTTCTTGTCCCTTGAGGTGGTCACCAGCATAGAACCATTGGCGCTCCACGACATGCTCTGCACCATCTCGGGGTGCCGGAGGGTGATGCCGGCCTGTCCGGTGCTGATGTCCCACAGCTTGATGGTTAGGTCGCCAGACGACGAGGCGAGGATGTTCTCGGCGGCGGGGTTGAACAGAACATGTCCGACCTTCCTGCAATTTTGTGAGTTGACATCCCGCATCTTGTGAGTAGGATAATCCGCACCTCGAATGACCAGACAATTTGCTGACTGGCGCGACATCAGGAGTCTCCTCGGTATCTGTGTAGAGGGTAAAACCCTTGGGTACCTCCCAGACAAAGACCTTGCCATCGTCAGAGGCCGAAGCGATAATGTGGTCGTTGAAGGGGTTCCTATTCCATGTCAGGTCAGCACGGCGGCTGGGGAATGGTGGGCGCTTGAACGGACCAGTCGGTATCGAGCACGGCGGCAGTGTGGCCGCGAAACAGCGGTATTTGGTCGGGCAGCTTCCCGCGCTCGTTCAGGGGAATGACAGCAAAGGCGCCGCCACCACCAGACTCCCAGTTGACCGAGAGGTATTCGGGGTTAACCTGCAGGAAGCAAAGCGTCAGCAAGGAGGCGGTGTTGCGACTAGTGGGGCACACTGCGACAAGGACAGTGAGTACCGTACCTTCACTAGGTTGGTGTCCCAGGCATTGCGGCTAATATGGAGGTTGTCGTAGCAAAACTCCTTCTTTGTCGGCTTTCCAAAGACGTGTCCTGGGGAGGAAAAGGGTCAGCAGCTGTCGCATGGGACACCGCTTCCCAAGTGTCGCACGCAGCAACACAGGGCAGCACGCGAGCCGGGCCAAGGAAGCATACGATATTTCGACGCGCGCACGAATCGGCCGGCCATTGGGTCGAGCAGCTAGAGAGAGACAAGCCAGAAGAAGGGCGGGTGCAAAGACGGGGTCGGGTCGGTTGTCGCAGCTCTTGGTTGTGCAGCCACAACAAGTTTAGGGGTGAACGAAGGTCAACAGTTGCTGGAGACGACGAAGGCAGGCTCCATTCTGGATGGAGTCGCTTGGCGAAGCGCTCCCGTCTTTCCAGGTTCCTTGCTCTGCGCACGGCCCGTCCATACCCTGTTCCTGGTCGCTGACTGGCGGCTGTTTGGGATGCCCCTCCACCATCGCAGCAAAGGACCCCAAAAGCATCGCCTGAGGCTCCAAGCTCTTCTCACACTCATCCAGCAGGCATGGTTGGAGAAAGGCTGTCGATGTGTCGGGGCTCCTTGTGTCCAGGATTCACGGAAATATTAAGGAACGCCCACTAAGCCCTCCACTGACAGCCAACATCTATGCATACCAGGGACGATACACTAGGGCATCATTTTGTGCTGTCATGCACCCCACCAATACACAGCTCAGCCCCTCCAATCCCATGATAAACCCTGATTGCGACACAGCTATGCATCAAACAAGGTCGGCTGGTGTAGTGGTTATCACGTCTCGTTCACAAAGTGAATCAACTGGAGCAATTCCACCGAGAAGGTGCCAGGTTCGATCCCTGGGTCGATCATATCCTTTTTGCTCCTGCTGCCTCCTGCTGCCTTTGGATCAGTCTGGTCGTTTTTGTTGGAGGTTCGACCGGAAGAGATGTCTTTTTGTTGTTGGCTGCTCACCAAAGCTTTGTTTTGAATTGATTTCTCTGATGGCGAAAGGGTTAGGGTTGGGTTGTGCTGGCACGAGCTTGACGTTCTTCTGCTGTCTTGTGGCTCTCAAGCACCATTCCTCGTTTGTTTCTGGATAAAAATATTAATTCAAGTCGGGGATGACTTGAGACCAGCCAGGTCCACTGAAAAAGGCGGGAATGGAGAGAGAATGTAGACTTTTGCGCCAGGGCGAGCTCGTCAACAGGCTTGAAGCAGCTTTGACCAACCAGGAAATCTCCAAATAAATCAGGGAAGCTTCCCAGGAACAACATCACAACCCTGGAGCGATGAGAGGCACAAACCTACCGACGGGGCACAGTCAAAGACAATACAACGAGCCCTGAAGTCCGACAACAAATCTTGCCGAAAGCGGACCTTCCACTGACACAACCCGAGCATCTCAACCTAGACGAGATATACCACATAACTCCGCAACCCTTCGATGCGATGGCGAGCAAAGCTAAGTCCCGCTGGGCGGACGACGAAGCAGACGCTGCGCTCGACGCGCAGCTGAAGAAGGAGAAGGAGGAGAAGAAACGTTTAAAAGTCGAAAAGGCGCGCAAGCTCGAAGCCGAAAGGCAAGCTCGGGAGGCTGCCGCCGCCGCGGCAGCAGCACAGCAAGAAAGGGACAGCGCAAATGGGCCACCTGCGAAGAGACGGAGGATATCACCAGACCGTGAGCCCGTGCCAATTGCGAACGCATCCGATGCGCCTAGCACCGCGTCAAAGCTGCTGCGCTTTGAGGGCGGTGGGTTTGGCAAGTGCCGCAGCGTCGAGAATTACGACAAATTGAACGACATCGAAGAGGGCGCGTACGGCTGGGTGTCGCGCGCAAAGGAGGCTGCGACGGGGAAAGTGGTGGCGCTAAAGAGGCTTAAGATTGATACCAAGGATCGCGGGGGGGCTGCCAGTCACGGGCCTGCGCGAGATCCAGATCCTGAAGGACTGTGACCACCGGAACGTGGTTAAGCTACGGGAGGTCGTCGTCGGGGATGACACGAGCAGGATCGAGAAGTAAGCCGCTTCAACCTCCACCCCTCAAAACTCCAGCGCGCATACGCTAACCTCTCCCTCCCCAGCATCTTCCTTGTCCTCGAATTCCTTGAACACGATCTCAAGTCCGTCCTCGAAGACATGCCCGAGCCCTTCCTCGCCTCCGAAGTCAAAACCCTCCTCCTCCAACTCGCCTCGGGCGTCTCCTACCTGCACTCCCACTGGATCCTCCACCGCGACCTCAAAACCTCTAACCTCCTCCTCAACAACCGCGGGCAGCTCAAAATCGCCGATTTCGGTATGGCGCGCTACGTCGGCGACCCGCCCCCCCAACTCACCCAACTAGTCGTCACCCTCTGGTACCGCGCCCCCGAACTCCTCCTCGGCGCCCCGCGCTACACCTCCGCCATCGACATGTGGAGCATAGGCTGCATCTTCGGCGAGCTCCTCACGCGGGAACCTCTCCTCCAAGGCCGCAACGAAGTCGACCAGCTAACCCAAATATTCTCCCTCTGTGGCGTCCCCACGGACGAATCCTGGCCATCCTTCCGACGCCTCCCCAACGCGCGCGGCCTGCGCCTCCCAACAAAACCCCCACTAGCACCACCTCCCTAATCCGCACGCGCTTCCCCCTCCTCACAACTACCGGCTCCCACCTCCTCTCCACTCTCCTATCCCTCAACCCTCACGACCGCCCCACCGCAACCGAGATGCTGGCGCACGAGTACTTCCGGCAGGACCCCAAACCAAAACAGGAGGCCATGTTCCCTACCTTTCCCAGCAAGGCAGGACAGGAAAGACGGAGGAGGCGGACACGCCCAACGCGCCGGCGAGGGGCCAGCAGGCGGGCGCGGGCGCGGCGGAGTTTGGGGCGGTGGATTTTAGTGGGATCTTTGCGGGGAGGAGAGAGAGGAACGGGAGGGGGCTTTTCGTTGAGGATGGTTTGAGGGGTGGGCGAAGAAGAGTTCTGGGGAAATAAGACTGGTTGCAGTTTTGGGTTGGATATAGTTTCGGCTATGTATCCATGGTGCTTACGGACCGGGCACTATGAGAAGCTACATAAGATGCCCTCTTTGTTTAAGTGGCATCTTGAAAGCCTGAAACCAACAATACAAACAACTCTATAAGATATGCTCTCATTACTACCTGCTCAATATGCAATGTCATAACCACCACGAAACACACGCAACATATGTTTCTCTCATCTCCTGTCTGTTCCCTATTTTTTTTTTCGCCCCTAGATCAGGCAGACATCCAAAAAAAAATAAAAAAAAATTGCAACGAAATGTATCCAACGCCCTCCCGCTCTTTGCACTCCGTATTAGTATGAGATGTAGTCAAAGCCAGTCCCTCCCTAATCAAAACCCAAAACCCATTACAAGACATATTCCCCCATCATTTCACTTCTCCAAGGTTGGATCAGAACCCAACCACAAACCACGTAAAGCTCAGCACCGTCGCAGCGCTCATCGCAACAGCAACGCCCAGGGCGCGGCTATCCAAGCTAGACATGGCACCACTGCACGAAGCGCACTGATACCCATCACCATTATCATGGTACGGCTTAGGCAAGTACAAACCAAAGACCGCCCCATTAGCAGTCGCAAAGTATCCCGGCTGCGGGGTCGCCTTCAGACCACCATCCGCATCGGCAATGATTAGGGTATACTCATCCGTCAGCAGCGGGTGAGCCACGTGGGCGCTCTGGAAGGCCTCCGTGTCCCAGGTAAAGGTCCCCGGGTCGGCAAACGACATGTTCTGCGTGACCGTCCACGGAACGGACACCTCGCTGCACTTAACGTACAGGTCGATGGCGGTGGGCGTGCCCTGAACGTTGGTGTAGTTCCAGCCCCAGGTGACGAAGTCGCCGACTTTGTAGAGTTGGTAGCCCGCCGTGACGGCGGGGGTGATCATGACGATGCCGCCGGCGGGGTCCTGGGGGTTGAATTCGGTTTTGGAAGGGGAGCGGCTCATGGTGCCATTAGTGGGCGCGCGGCCGGTGCCGGTGGGCGAGTCGGTTTGAGGGATGCCGCCGGTGTTGAGGTTGCCCGTGATGGGCTTGAGCGGGCCCTTGGAGGTGGTGCTTTGCGGGGGCGGAGGTGTTTTCGTCTTCGTTGGAGGGGGTTGGTGGGTGTTGGGGTGGGCGAGGAGAGTCTTCTGTAGGGTTGGGGGTTAGTAAACACGCGGGTGCAAGGTCTTCGGGGTCGCCATACCATTGTTGTTGTTGCCGGAATCTTCTTGCCGAACAACGAGGCTATCGACGTCTGGGAGCCACGCTGGCCATGCTAGAGCAGAAGCCACGGGAGCCAACGACAGCAGCGCCACAGCCAAGTGGCCTGCGGACAGAGGACCCTTCATAATGGTGATGTGGTTGGAGTCGTGAAAGCCGGCTGGGGACAGCACGGTGGAGATTGTCCCGAGAAGTCAACCCCGAGTTCAATTATTTCGGGCCCGAAAAAGGTCTTGTTCAACGCCGGAGAATGTGGTCGGCGGCGGTCCTCGCGGGGACAGATGGTCTCGACGAGGACGTGGCACGGCGTTCGTTGGGACAGCCCCTATTATTATTGGATGACCAAAAATAAGACCCGCGCGAAATGGCTTTGAGCAAAATATGAGACGAACACCAGGCGAGGGGGAGGTAGCACAGGCAGGGCGTCGAGGGTGCGAGTCGAGGGAAATGGAATGAAGAGCGAGCGTGCGGACGGAAAGCGAGTGTGGTTGCTGAAGAAACAAGTGCTGTCGACGACGAAGAGGGCGCTGCGTCTGTGTCACGCCAGCTGTATTTTTAGTGGTGCCCCGACACGAGAATATGCCACACAAAGATGGGTGATTCGCGTCCCATGGGATTTCACTGACAAAGCCCTTGTCTTTTCCCAAACGAGCGAGAAAGTAAGGCAGTCTGTTTGAGGCTCCTCTAACGAGAGCGACCACCGCCAACAGTTGCTTCATTTTCGGGTTGCATATCACAAAAACTCACTTACATGCTTGAAGTTTATGCTTCTGCTCAGCCAATCCGCCAATATTTGTGGTGATCGCTGCAAGCCGTGAAACCTGTGCCGAAAGTCCGTCATCCGAGAAGCAATGGTCTCCTGGCCGTGAGTAGAGTAGAGTTGAAGCTCGGAAAATTATGCTGCCGGCACCATTGAAGGCATCACCTCGCGAACTGGTGTTTGGGTCAGGCTAAAAGTATGTATGTCATTCGTATGCCGAGTGGCTGCAGAATGCCATTGAAACCGTTTCCGCATTCCAAGTCTCCTGCTTTGTTGACAGGGGCCATCCAGATGGATGGGTGCTTACACACGAAGCATCTTTTTAACACACAAAGAAATGTTTGAGCTCCAGGGCTCGAGAACCACATTTTGGATGACTAAGCCTGTAGATTCAAAATAATGGTTCTCCAACTCGTCCAAAGTCCATCTTACCGGTATCAACATGGTGCGCCAGGCGGATGGTGTTGAGCGGAAGGAGGGGGTTTACTCCTCGTTTCTTCACAGCTCAACGCCTCAGTCCATCCATTGAGTCTAGAAGTCAGTTGCTACCATCATGTCTTCCATGCATCTCGTTTCTCATTCTTAGGTTCAGCCTGACTGTACAATAGAGAACAGCCACTTGGCTCATTCCTCCTTCTGCCCGTGGTGGACTAATTAGGAGGTCATCTGAAAACAGGTGATCGGGGCAGAATTTGGTCATCCCGACATCTGATGGCACAATTGGACTGCCGCCAATGCTGGTTGGCTTGATTGCACCATCTTCTGCCAAGTATCCTCGGTGAGAGAGTCGAGCGAGCAAGAACCCAACACGGTTGTCTTTTTGGTAATTATGACAAAAAGGGTTCGAAGTCTCTCAGATTTATTTCCATTGCCAACAACTCGAA